TCTATATATATATATATATATATATATATATATATATATATATATAGATACCGACAAGAGGAACGAGTGATCCGGTGTGAGCGATAAGATAAGTCAAGGTGTTTAAATCCAGTATTGTGTAATATTTACGTATGTTGAGGCAGAAAGTATCAGGAAGATATCAACGGAGATGCTGAAAAAAATACAGTATAAGAGACATCTAAAAAGAGATTAATGTAAGCCATTGATTCAAGATTTTTACTGACGCACAAGCAAACAATTATACGAATAAATTGTACCGGCTTTTCGCAACATTCATCGTACTTAATATGTGTGTACTACCACTACTAATACTTAGTAACATCTGCAATGCATATCGAAATACTCCTAATATATACACGGTAAACGGTGAATAGGAGGCGAAGTCTAACAGTGAAAACCTGAATCAGCTTCACTGGGTCACAGAAACTTCGTTTTCACTTCAGTGAAACGTCACGTCAACATCACAAATATTTCATTCTGACAAGAGTCAACGCTTTGCGCAGTATGGGTACTTTCAAACTTTTGTTAAATTGCTAGGTGTGGTTAGCATATGGCACATTTAAATAAACAATGCTATCCACGTTATCCAAATCCTGCAGTTTTCCCCACCAGTACAATTAGTATCAGTGTTGAGGAAACTATTCTGAATCCCATTATTTCGTCTCTTAATAAAATGGGAATATTATGAAGTTTACAAATGAAGAGACCGCATCGAACACAGAATTAACCCTGGTGTAGGCATACCGAATGAAGACACTATTCCATTACGCGATCTGAATCGACTAAGCAATGGAATTGATGTACCACTAGTAACGATTACCAGTTATTTAGAGGCCTTTGATACAGAGCCGTTTATACAGCAGCCATTGCACGCTAATTCTGGTCCGCTTCAACTACGATTGTCAATCATCTCAACTAAGGATACACACGCCTTCAAACTAGCCTCCTGTGATACCCAGTCCTATTGCTCGTACTTCCTATGACTGATCATGCCACCTCAACACATGTGCAGGAACACGTGTATACAACCTGGTTCGCGTCGCCTTGAACAGGGAACCACAGTGACACGTACGGATCTGTTCTCCAGTCCTTTCCCGTTGCAGATTTTCACCGATGGATGTGCACTCGTTAGTCACCTTTTTGATTCTTCATTCAAGTGACACCATGCTACACGCCTGTGTGCACTTGTTGGACTACACTATATACACAAGTACCTGTCAGCTAAAATGGAAATGACTGAAATGCTCGAGTGAGTTTAGATACCTGATCCCCGTGCGAATCTGAGCAACAAGAATAAGGGAGATAGGCGTGTTCTCGTTGTCGTTCCCATCGTAGCCGTGGATAGACCTTCAAAATTGTGTGATGGATTTCATTCGACTCCAAATTGCGTCCCACTGAACATTTACAAAAAACGCGGTACAGAAGCCATATGAAAGTAATGGAGGATTTGATTCTATTTTGGAGAAGGAATTCCTCATGTATAGAACAAATAAAACGTGAACTGAAATCCTAGGAAGCACTGAACAACTGTTTCGATCTGGTTAGGTTTCATCAACAGTGCGAAACCATCGATCCAACTGCGGATTGAACCCACTACAAGCTTTCGAAGAGGGGTTGGCTATATTGTGTAAACGGCCTGATACGTTGCTCGGTGGCCGAGTGGATAGTATGCTGGGGTTCTGTCTGTGAGGTCCTAGATTCGATCCCCAGTTGGGTCGATGGATTTGCATTGCTGATGAGACCCAATCAGGTCGAAACAGCTGTCCAGTGCTTCCTGGCTTTCCAGTTCATGCTAGATTTGCTCTATACACGACGAAATCCGTCTTTGAAATAAAGCACATGTCTCAAAATAATCGGAACTGAAAATAATCGCTCCGGAATTCGTCAAACACTGTGAATCAGAACAAGTTCAGAGTAGTTCAAAGGCATCTGGAGCAAACCACGTGATTTACCCAATGTTTTCCCAAAGCGAATAGAGTCCGGCGATAATGCGAGGAGCGCCGCAGATTTTGCTGCAATTTGCGATCTAATTCGGAATAACATAAATCCAGAAAGTGTGACTTCTCAGAAGGGGAGTACTGTACTGGGGTATGCAGTGTGGCGGATTCCGGACGAGGCAGTCGGGATCGGGGTTCGTAGAACCAATTGATCTGGCCGGCTTCCAAATAGTCCGGAGCAAGACGTACCATCAATATAGGCGGAGTGCATGGAAGTTGAGCGATCAGCTAAAGTGTGCAGAAAATGGCGAGAAACACCGGGATATGACAAGAGTCTACGATGAGAGTTCGTCAAAATACCTTCCTTATTCCCAGAAAAAAATCTTAGGTTCACCGTGTTCGGAATAAATAGAGCATGAAACCTCCAGCAGAGAGAGAGAGACAATTTCAACTTATTTTTATCTTGCTTCGCATTTGTAAGCAACTACATATTCAAAGCAGAAAGGATACCAACACCGTGCATAATCTAAACTGAGATGAACAAAGACAGATGACCGAATAAAGGTTACGCTCTTCTGCACGGTCACTTCAGTAACTTTCACCGTTGCACCGATTCAAAACACTAATGTTTTTCGCATAATCGCTGAACGCGGTTTGCAGGGCTGCACTGAGACTTTTCACTGGTGCAAAGGTGATTCCAGGAAGTAGATCACCTCGCGCATCAAGGTACGACAGTTAAAAAAAGAGGTGAATTTTTATCAACACTGCAATAAGATGTATAACATTAGCATGTGCCCGTTCCCTGGTAACCGATACTTGGCGTCTTCAGTCTCGCTGCTCAGAACGACAAAATGAAGGACCAATAAGGAAACCGAGGAAAAAGAACAGTCGATAGGCGAAAAAAAACTTACTTGGTCTTTAGGAATTATTTTGAGATGACAACTTGTATTCCATTCACCTGCATCCAAGCACGTCACATAAGTCTCCATTTCATCAATACTTGGCGGATTTATATTAGCTTGAACGCACAAATTGATGCTACTCAGTAATTGGATTTCATGTAAAATTCGAGGGTTTAGTCGTTCCAACTGATCTGCACCGAATGAGGTTAGCGGATCCGACTCGGGGTCATAGACTATGGGGTTCTTGGTGAACAAATAATCTGGAANAATCTGGAATAACAGAGAAAATCACAGGCAGGAGATGAAAACAAAATCGCATTAGGCACGGTGAGAAGAGCACAACAATCATAATGAAATTACTGCAACACAATAACCAAAATTAAAGTGAGTCCTAAGTCTCTCGACTTGACTTGAAGTGATCTTTTAGGGGATTGATATCTCTTTCTGATGCGTTTACAGACTGAGAGCCAGCTGAACAGAAGAACAAAGAAAGTGTTTCGATCTGTGATGGCTAACAATGTGTACTTGTGATTGGGTCTGCATCCGCACGCTACGACAAACAGATAAGAGAAAAACAGATGGATTTGCTTGCAGTTTAAACGAGAGCCGTGTCTAAATGAGGCCACATCATAAAAGCGATGGATTGAAGTACACAAAAGTTGATGCCTCATCAGGCTGATATGAAATCCTGAAAATAAACCACATCTTTAGATTTTTCCAAATGGCAAGGCTTGATGGAGACAGTTTGTAACAATAACGGTAGGATTTCGGTAATTTATTCTACCAACTAGTTTTTGTAAGATCACCAATAAAAAGGCACAAGCCCTATCAACAAAACGCTTAAGGAAGTTCAAACCTTTCAGAAGGATTAATTTAAATTCCATCACAACCTTAATGGTTGATGGCGAAAGATCAATGATAAAGGATTCGCGTCTATCAGGTGAAAGACCAAATGAACAGAACTTATGGTTAAAGGAAGAAAAGACGGGATTCAATAACATGCAATTGAATTGGTTTCAGATGGAGGACTAGCATCAACTGGGAGTATTTGCCCAGTCGGGGTGGACGGTGATAGTTCAGATGTCGATGGGGGTCAGTTGAACTGAGCCTTGAAGTGTTCAGTCCATCGATCAAGACGGCGTTTCCGATCGTGAATCAGTGTGCCATTGGATTCCCTAATTACCTCACTCGCCTACTTTCCTGGGGCTTGTATTCATAATTGGACACAAAAGATTGCGACTATTGCCGATAGCCGCAGCCTTCTCCATCTCTACACTTCTCTACCCACCACTTCTAACGGTCATTCCTCAGACTCTTGACGAGCTGACGTTTAAGGGATTTGCGCGCTGGGTCATTGTGGCATCCAGAGGCAGGGTTCTGCGGATTTCCAGCAGAGCAGCCGAGGTCGACGAGATCCATCGTCTGCGTTTTGAACCTGCGCCAGGGTCCGACGTTGTTTTTAATGATATTTGCATAGCTTCCTTGATTTGCTTCCAGTGTTCATTGAGTCCTTCGACTGGTGATTGAACTGACAGGCGATCGGAGAGCTCCGCTTCGAAGGCCGATCTGCAGCCATCGTGGACGCTGTATCGTGGATATTCGTTGTCGGTGGCTTTTCTGCGGTTGATTGATTGATGTAGCCCAATCATCTAAAGTAAATGGCTCAATCACAATCAGAAATGTTTGGTATTTGACAAATCGTTGTCTTTTTGTGACATATCACTGTGTTATGAACAGTAGATTCATTATGACAATTCGCTGGCCACAACCATGTCAGTGTTTATCGTCTTAGTTCAGCTATCGGTTAGTTGACACCTAAGGGATTTGTGAGCATTATAGTACAGGAGATACCAGTCCCCGAACATCTAACAATATGAGTTAATTCGATAATATCCGTCACCGATGTTGTTCGTGAGTTTAAGAGGAACCCGGATGGATTATTACACCCAGCCGGCATTCACTGAACACTTGAGTGGGCACTCATGCCAACAGATTGTCGAATAGCGCTGCTTGAAAAGTAGATCATCAGTTTCCATTTCGAGCTGACGTTGTGAGGCATAGTCACAACGATCTGCTTAGTGCCAACGTGAGCAAAGGACTAATGAAAGCGGACAATCATCAACAAACCGCAACAAACAACTGACAGGTTTTATAGATTTCCAAAGGCTGAGAAAGAAGGGTACTTAATACAGATTATGGGTAAGTAGCTCAGTAGTTTAGTCGCTGTCACCAGTGTGCTTCGGACCCTATGGTCCGGGGTTCGAGCCTTTCCACCGCCACCAACTTTGGTGGTAAGCAGCACTGCTGTCGTCCTGTTCAAATACCGCATCTCACCTTGTGGTTCGCAACCCCAAGT